TTTATTAATGTGTATATTCTTTTTGAGATGAAAGTTATTTTAGTATACTACGTATATATCTATATGGTACTCCCTCCATCCGACATTATTTATCATGATTTTTGTTTATAGAGTTAAATTATAAAAATTTTGCCTAACATTTTAAGACGTACTTTTTAATCATATTAATATGTAAAAAAAATTGTAATTTATAGTACTTTTTATATAGTTTTAGAAAATTTAATTTTTTTGTTTAAAATATCGAATTAATGTAATTTAATTTACTTTTAAAAATTAGTTAAATTAACTTTTAATAAGCATAATATGACAAATAATTCCGTACGAAGGAGTACTTAGTTTTTAGTGCAAAATTTTGTGGTGGTAGCAACTTCTACTCAATTTTCTTGAATATTCTTCTTGGCTACTTCTTACTCTCTTGTTGGAAGTTACGTACAAAGTTCCTTGAAATGCAAGACATATATATACACTACATATATATATATGGGAAAATGAATATCATCTTAGACTATGTCGAAATTTTAGAGACAAAGTTTAATTAAATTAAGGTCTTATTATCTTTTTGAATTTTTTTTAATTTTGTGCATTTTTTTTAACTTACGTGATATTTAAATATCTTTCATGCGTCTCAATTACGTGAAGTCATAGAGTGTATCACTTAAGATAAAAAGCACATAAAATTACAAAAATACTAAATTTAAAAGAATAATAAAACATTAATTTAGTTAAGATGTATCTTCAAAATTTCTATGATAATCTAGAAAGTACAATTTTTTTTTTTATATTGAATAGACAAAATTTACTTTAGTTTTTGTTTCAAAAAAAACATAGCTTTATCTGGAAATTTCTTTATAATATGGATCAGAGGCATACAATTAATAAGTCAAGCTTACGTGTACAAAATTCCTTTCACACAATATAAGTAGAAATACATATAAGAAATTGTAATTAATTAAGCCTTAAGCATCATTTGTCAACGTTCTTGACTTCCAATTCTCTAATATTGTTCAATTATTGGTTGCTTGCTTCTTCATTAAGTATATAAAAATATATCGTATTCCAATTAAATATCATCTAAGAGCCTTAATCTAAGAATCACTTCAAGATTTTGAGTCCTTTAATTATTCACAATAATATAAAACAATGTTTTTATCTATGTTAGCTTTATATTGATGTCAATAGTTTTTCCAGCCATTCATCATCACGAACTACCTGGATTAAAAAGATATTGGAAATGAAAGCATTGGGTTGATCAAAGCAGGTTAAGTTAATAAATAAGCGAGTTATTATTGAGATTAAAAATGCAAATAAAAATTTAATGCGTTTAATTTCTCAAAGCAGGTTAAGTTAATAAATAAGCGAGTTATTATTTAGATTAAAAATACAAATAAAAATTTAATGCGTTTAATTCCTACTAAATTTTGATTGCTTTAGTAGTTTTTTTTGAAGGCAAGTCTATCTATTGTATTTGCCCTATAATTCTATAGTATAAAACAAAATCATGGTTGTTTAGGTGGAACAAAAACAAATATAAATAGTTTTAGTGATTAATTTATTATAATTGGATGACCATATCATAGAAGTTAGTATTTCACTCCCATTAGGGTACAAGTTGTGTACGGTTTATACTGTATTATAGCCAAATGCAACTAATATTTTTTCTTAATTGATTCACCAGATTATGGTGGTAATTTAAACAAATTTGTTGAGAGAATTTTTATGTAAATTTTTTTATCGTAATTCATCAAAATCGAAAATGACAAAATCTCGAAAGCAGTGGGACAAGGAAAAAATATATGTGAGGGTTTATTTGTCAAAATAAAAATGAGAACATAAAAGGCTGCTAAAATATTTTGTTGGCGGCCGTGTAAGGTAGTTTCGTAGCGGCTGCACAGCAATAATAAATAAATAGGATAATAATAATAATAATAAATAAATTAATTAATTAATTAATATTTTCAAATATTTATTTTACGTTTAATAAAATGATACAATCATACAAATTTTTATTTGATCATAAGTTTAGACATATTTAAAACTCAATTATTATTATGCATTAAGTTAAAAATTAAAATTATCATAAAATTATAAATTTGTTTTTCTTGCGCTCAAACTCAAGAGTCTTTGCAATTTGGGCCTTCTTTCTTTTGTTTTCTTTATCCTTTTGTTTTTAATGCTCTTCCTAAATTTTCAACCATTCCGTCCAAATAATATTTTCTCCGTCCCCAATTATTTATCTATTTTTCTATAATTATTTTTAATTATTTATCCATTTTAATAAATTAAAAAAATATAATTTTTTTACCTATTATATTATTAACTAAATGACTAAATTACTTTGAAAAAATGCAAAATTTTTCATTCTAAACTCATTATGTCATTAATTATTTTTTAAATAAGTATGTCAATTCAAAAAGTGAATAAGTTAATTATGGACAGTGAGGGTAATAATAATAAAAATTGTAATAATGATAAATAAATAAATCAAACTTTTTAATAAATAACATAGATATATCTTCTATTAAAATTCAATGACATACTTGAGCGTTCAGTGAATTTCAAATAAATAATTTTGTAGAACTAGTTGATCAGTTGAACATTTTCCAGGGCACTATTTAGTCATTCTGTAGGAGAAAAACTACCAAAGATTTTCCTTTCAAATGATTATAAAAGGACTACCTATAATCCCTTTGTGATGCAATTTTTCATATTATTAATTATTATTATTATTAAAAACAAAATTAAAGGAAGATGTCTCGTTAACGTAACAATTTGTTTTTTTGTTATATATTGAAAAATGATAAATGATATATTCTTGACTTTTATTTTATCTATAATACCTTTGTTCACGACATGCTCTTGCAATTTGTGCTACTCTCAAGGCTTTTGAATTTTTGTCTTTTTTTTAAAAAAAAATATGTAACACGTTATCACAAAAGCGTTGATTTCGTTTAGAAATATATTTAAATTTTGAAGCACTTTTAAATTTTAAATACTAGAGTATAATGTCCATCCCAGCATGGGCCTCATATTATTAAATTTTATTTTATTTTTTGTTAAGTTTGTTTTGATGTGAAATTGAAGAAAAGAAATTTGATGGGATCTAAGGGTGTGTTCGGCGTGGAAAATATTATTTATCAATTAAAATTTTTGTGAATAATTTTTTTCAAGAAATTTTTTTAATTGTTAATTTTTTGAAATGAGGAAATAACTTCGACAATAGACATGAAAAAACAAGTTATACATGTGATTCTCTACATTGATATGTCATTGATGTTCTTAGTTAGTTAGTTTTTTTTTTTACCAAAAACACATTACGGATAAATTTTATTAATTATATTTTAAAATTTTAAATTTAATAAATGGTTAGTATTTTATGTAAATTTTTATAATAGAATAATATTAACAGCAAATAATAAATTTATTGATTTTGATTTGTTAATAAACAAGTAAAAAAAGGAAAAATAGTCGGTCAATCAAGTAAAAAGTAAGAAAGAGTATATGACACGTGTTTATAAATAAAGCTTCAATATTCACTTATGATAAATCAATATAAAATTATTTAATTACTCCTATAATATATAGGCCCCGTTTATTATTAAGTAACAATCTTCCATCAAGTTAAAATGAAAAATGAAAAATGAAAATATATGAAGTTAATTAAAGTAGAGTAATGTATATATTTTAAAGTATTAATTTGGGTATAAATGCATATTTTTTTCATTTTGAGTACTATTCTTTTCTTTTTAGTTTATTTTTTTTAAAAAAATCACATTGTTAACTTTTAAATCTTTCTTTATCCTAATGAAACAATTTTCAATTAGACAAATATCTAGATTAATTTTAGATTACAAAATTAAAAAAAATTATTTTCTTAAATATTATATTATGTTAAAAAATTCACATAAAATGAAACGATAGATATAATAATAATAATCTTTCACGAATTTGAAATGAAATTGGAAAATATATGGAGGAAAGTAGAGCACAATGACAATTGTTATGTCAATGCACAAGTTCAGAAAGTTCAATGGTCGCACTATTCAATGACATTTCACTTAGGGCATCATTTGTAATTTATGATAAAAATGTGATTTTTTTTTAAGTCATTGATTTGGTCTAAATAAATAAGCATGAAGGATAATCCATTTAAGCAAGCAAATTTTACAAAATAATAGAAAGACCGTAATACCCTCAAACTTTAATTGTAATGAACTAAAACTAACATTCCAAAACAATTCTTTCACAAAGAAAATATCAACCCTAGGTAGAATTGCTGGTCACTTTTGCCATTTTAGCTAAAGTTGAGTAATTTTTAAAATGTTTTTCCTAATTTTTACATTCATTTAGTTACGAAGAATTCAATATTGGATGAAAACTCTTCCATATAGATGAATTTCAAATACTATTTATTAGTTTTTATAATGCATCGAATATTTTATTAGTTTTTAAAATGTATCGCGTCAAAATAAATCTACATGTATACTTTTATAAATGTTAATCTAACAAAATAAATTATGTCCAATTGTTAAAGTAAAGTTCTCTACAAATTTTAATTCGACTATAATATAAATTAAAAAGATAGTTTAACAAAATTTATTATTAAACAAAGATATTAACAAACATATCCTATTGTATTAGTAAATAAGCCACAATGATCTTCCTACATCATTTTGATGATGCAATCAATAAAAGAATATCATTACAAATATAATGCTACAATGAAAAATGGTCATAACATAAGTAAATTTTGAAATAGAAATTTCTAAAACAGAAAATATATATATAGTAAATTGAAACAGAATTTATGTCTACACCTCATATTTGTTTTATTTTCTTTTTTTATCTCAATTAATTGTGAATTAAACAAACTCTATTATTCCATTTGTTATTTATTTGATAAATTTATTCACTTAACCATGTAAATCATATTTACATGATTAGCAAATTATTTAAAAAATTAAAATTTGAAAATTAAGCCGACCACCAACATGTTAAAATATATGATAATACAAATATTTTTATGTTATTATCATGATACGAATGTGTTGGCTTTATTTAATTTTTATCACCATTGTTTGTACCCTCACTGTTGGATTCAATTATTATATCATATACTAATATATTAATATTACAAAACCAGCCTAAAAGTGCTGGAACCTTTAAACACATGTATATTTAAAGAAGATTCTAATTGGATAATAATTATTAAACTTTAGTATTTTCTTTTCCAAAATAACATATAGTATTTAGACAAACTATAACTACACAAAAATAAAAAAATTCTCATGTCTTCTTGAGCAAATATAAATTTACTAATATGCTTGTATCATTGCAAGGAATTTAGTTTTTCTTGATTTTCGTGTAACTATAACAATGAATTTAGTTTTTCTTAATTTTCATGTAACAATAACATTTCTCACTTTTGCAATTTGGATATTTGGCTAAATATAAATTGTAATTTATTTAATGGTAAGACTGATTTCCCTTCGTCTTCATTAGTTAGGTGAAAAGTCATAGAATACATTACCCCAATATCTAGAAATCCGGAAGCCTCCTTAAACATCAATATCTGTTGGTTCTTTCCTATTCAAGGGACTTATAAATTGAATACAGATGGATCTTATTCAGAGCAAACATGTACAGGTGGCATTGGAGGTATAATTTGTGACTCTCAGGGGTGGGTGATTGGCTTTCAAAAAAGTGTACAATGTCTAAACCATAATTTTTCTGAGACTGAAGCCCTTCTTAACGGTTTGAAAGTTGCCTATACTCATAAGATGTTGCCTCTAGAAATTGAAATAGATTCCTTTGAAATCTTGCATTTATTCGAAAAATCCTCCTCCTTGTTTATACATTTATTATAATGGATTGCAGATCAATGTTGAAGAAGTTGGGGAATCCGAAAATCCGTCACAACTTTCGTGAAGCAAACATGATAGCTGATATTTTGTCTAAGATGGGTGCTAAGCTAACAATGTCTAATCAAATATCTTACGATCTCCTCCAGAAGCTATAAAGGATTACCTTGCGGCTGACCTTGGTGGAGTACTATCTAAAAAGCTAATATTATGATTTATGTGTAATATGTTAGTCTGTTTTGGTAACCTACTTAATAGTACTAGTTCGGATGTAATAATCAACTAATTATATATTATTATATATATGAGTTATATTTTTTGTTGGTGTGACATTTTAATATAAATAAAAATATATATTTTATGTCACATTATATATCATGTAATGTCTATTGATAGACATTACATTTTTGCCTCTTTACTCTCTCAATTGTGAAAGAAAATGGTCATTAGTTTTCAATAACTCATGTAACCACCAACTCTTCATTTCATCCATTATTCTATATTTATGTCTAGTAACTTATGTAACATTGAGCCATTCATTTGAAAAATTTACTATCCACTATTCTCCTATTCATTGTAAGGAAGAATTCATCACCTATAAATGATGTAGTCTTCATTTGTGTTGAGATAGGAGAAGAAACAAGAGAAGTACAAGAAAATATAGAGTGAAAAAGATGAGTGGTTTATATTGAGGTTAGTGTAGTGAAAGAGAGAGTTGACACATAGAAAATATTCTAAGTCTTCAACTATATTCACTATACAAAAGAGAGTATTATATGTTGAAGGAAGGTGTTCTTTTGTGAAGCTTTGGACTCTTCAACTAATTCGGAGTTGCTTGAGTTATACACTGTTGTTGGGATATTGTATCCTGGAGGAGACAAGTCAAGAGTATTACTGCTGCATCGGTGTAGATTATGCCGCAGTGGGCTTGAATCTTTTTAAAATTGTTAATGAAAAAACATACAATATAATAAAATTGCAAGATTACAATTGAAAATAAAATGAAGAAATAAATCTTTAGGCTGAGCACGAATATCTCGCTCTCCCAACACAAATGAAGACTACACTATTTATAGGTGATGAATTCTTCCTTACAATGAATAAGAGAATAGTGGATAGTAAATTTGCCAAATGAATGGCTCAATGTTACATAAGTTAGATGAAATGAAGAGTTGGTGGTTATATAAGTTACTAAAAACTAATGACTATTTTCTTTTACAATTGATGAGAGTAAAGAGGCACAAATATAATATTTATCAATAGTTACATGATATATAATGTGACATATAATATATACTTTTATTAATAAATATTATATTTGTGCCTCTTTACTCTATTATATTATATATATACACAATAAATGAACGAACAAAGCTAAAACATTGAAAATTTTAGTAGCTACATGAATTTTTTATTTTATCCTAAAAATTTGATTTCCACTTAGTAATTTCTTTTCCCTATCCCTAATTTCTTTATTTCAATTTTTTTTAAAAAAGAAACAAATGATTTTTTGGAATCTTGGCATTGACACTTTTTTGTTTTACTTCTTCTAGAAACAAAATATTTTTTAGTATAAACTATTGAAAGTACATATTAATGAGTATTTGAAATATACTCCCATATTCTTACGCTTCGCTGGCTTTCTTTACTTCTAATCCCGCAACTCTGTCCCTCCACTTTTATATTATCTTTTTGTTATTATTATTATATTATTATATTTTATGATAACATTAAATAATACTTAAAATAATTTTATAGCAAAAATGACTTTAATTCGTATGATATAAAATAATCAAACTTTAATTATTCCATTGAGGAGCGCAAGATGACATTATTTTGGGTGAGCCATCCCCTAAATATAGGGTATAACTTAATACGAGCAATGTGTTGAAAAATACAGGAGTAGTTTGACATTTTCACTAAATTGATTAGGTTTACAACAGAAGTTCAAGATAGGATACTAATAAAGTAATTAAGAAAGTAATTAAGGGAGTTTGACAGAAAAAACTTATTCATATCGAATGTTTATATCAAGCCAATGCAAAATTCATTATTATTTGATTTAATAAAGTAAAATGAACTACGAATTTAAACACGGGACATGCATGTATTGATTTGGTATAAACATCTGATGCGGATAAATTTTACCCATTTTTTGACACAAGATAGCCGTATTCCAAAAATATAATCCATAGATGAGACACATATATAGATTAATGATCTTCTCACAAAATTAAAATTTCATTTATTTTTAAAAAACAATCAAATATTACTTGCTGACATTCATGTTGTTTAAAGATTTAATGATCCAATAATAAATAACATTCATCAGGAAATATCACGATTCAAATTTGCACAAAACTGAAAAAAAAATTCAAAGTAATACATATTTAGATATAAAGTTAATTCAAAACTATTCGACATACCTTGTTATTACTATTATTGTTTTTATCTTAATATTTTTATGATCAAAATTTTCTTTATAAAAATATTTTCATAATATTGAGAATAATTATTTATTTTATCCAAAATAAAAATAAGATCGATATATACTTTACTCTAATCATATTTCAGTCGCAGTACGATCACAATAAATATGTTGTTGTGTTGTTAGAACCATAAAGGCAGAAATCATGCTCAATAATTAACATATATTTATTGTATACATTGCATCATGATTAATGAGCATGCTCCCTTTAAGTCAATTAATTTTTTCTAATTTTTCAAACAACATTAAAATTAAAACCAGGGTTGAATAACTCCAAATGTTTGTCTCTTTAGTTAATTTATAATCTAATACACCTATTAAAGGTAGAGTCTTGGACCACACCACTAGCTTTTCTAAAATTCTAAAATAAAATAATAATACATTTAATTGTCCAAATTGCCCCCACAAATTATTAGAAATTTAGCTTATATAGAGTGGATTAAATAGTCAAAACGTATTAACCAAATAGGCCTAGTCCATAGGCTATTCAGAGGCCCAACTTTTAAAACCCAACAAATATATGGCATTTTGCACAACGTAGAAATAATATCTTTATGACATTTTAGAAGAAAAAAAAGTTATTTATATTTTAAAAAGATAGGATTAAACTGTTGCTAGTCAATGACTCTATCTTGTGGTTCAATTTTTTTAATTTTTAAAAATAGCATTTTAATTTATGTATATGTTTTTAAAATTATTATGACGTGTCTTTTAAATATTGACGTGGAGATTCACTTTGAAATTTTTGTTAAATAGCATTAAAAATTAGGATTATAAAATATGTCGTTATGTAGATCATGAAGTACATGTGAATTGTCATTTTGTATGCTTCAAGCTTTCCTTTTCTTCTACTTTTTTTTTTCTTTTTGGTTGGTATATTTGATGAATTATTTTCATTTTCTTGATTGTATAACGGTTTGTAAAAGTATGTCAAGTTTTGTTCCTCTTTTTTTTTTTTTTTAATATAAGTCTGTTTATTTATTTCCTTGTTTTATCACCAGAATAATAGATTGACGAATATATTTTTAAGGGTTAATATATTTTTCAATATGGAAATTGTCTCCTTGAAGAATTTTTCATTAAATTTTTTTTTGACAATGAGCCAAACTCTAATAAATTCAAATGATTTATCGGAAATTAGCATTCACTTTTAGTAATGTGTTTAAACGTATAATGACAAACAAGCAATAAAGGAACACACAAGAAAAAAATATTGACATGTTCAGGCCTCATTAACGTAATAATTAATAACATTTGGTTTAGATGATAATTCAAGAGCCAACAAAGCAGTGTATATTTCAACATGGTGAAACAGACTTTATTATTATTATTATTATTGTTATTAATAATAATTATAATAAAGGCTTAGTTCTTTAATAATCATAGTGTCTTTATCTTTTATCCTTTTAAGGTTAGGATATAATACATTATATAATTATGTAAAGATAATTATATATCTTTACATCTTGTATATTGATCCTCTTTAACTTCCTTGTGGATTTATTTTTTACGTTTTAATATTAATAAATGAAAATTCTGTCTCAACTACGATTAAATTGATGAAGTTTGAGGCCAAAAAGCTGGCTTTATTATAAATAATAGAAGAAAATTATAAGAAGTTTGATTAGGTGGCTAACTACATATGGAGAATGACTCACCATGTTTTACTACTTTCTTTTAATGTTTCATTAGATTTTCTCTTTTAAAGAAGATTCTGGTTTGTATTTACCAATGGAAAGAGCTAATGGGAAAATATTATATTGAAACAAGAAATTTCAACGTTGTAATATTACTATATGCTAAAATTAAGTACTTTCCCCATTTTATTTTAGTAAATGAAATCAATTTTCCTTTTCATATGTTTCAACCTATTAGTTATGTGTTAAAATGGTGCAATTTTACAAGGAAATTACCATAATTTATTCTTGTATTTATTAATTTGTCATTTCAAAAGTTTCTCTTTAAATTAACAGATAAATTATTAAATAAAATTATGAACATAAAATGCCAAAATACATTTTTACACAATACATTATTACTGAATTATTGTATCACAATTTAATTTATCAAATATAAAAAAGTTCAGTATTTAATATCTATTTTTAATTATCATTACCGAATTAATATGAAACACCCATTCATAATTGAAATAAATGATTAGAATATAATATTTCCAAGTTGATTAAATTACTAAGAATATTTGTTCCTCCTACAATGCCCACTTAGAAAAACTAACTAACTAAAATGACCAATAATGGACCCAAAAGATACCAATTTTTTTGTAAAGAGAATAATATGCCAACTCACTATTGAAAAAATACCCACCCCACCTCTTCCTATTAAAGAAATTAAACTAATCGACATGATTAATATTTTTAGTGAACATCAAATAAAGAGTAATTATTTATTTTTATTAGAAAAATAAAAATAAAATAAAAGTATTCATGACAAGACCTAAAACAAGAATATGTAAAACATGAAAATGAAAGAGAAATTAAAAGGAAAGAAGGAGGTCGGTTCCTTGCACCCAACGTATCTTTAGGTTTTGCCTCGGAGCTAGGTTCGGACTTTGTTTATGTATGACCTTTTAAAGGATAAGAACGACCCCCCCACCCCCCACCCCTAATATTTTTTTCTTTACAAGTAGCCTTATATTTCTCACACCGCCTCCAATTCCTATATTTTCCAAACCATAGTTTTTATTTTTTCTCTTACTGTCACTAATACACAAAGCGTTACTACTTTCGAGAAATACAAATAGTTTTATTTTTTTTTGTTTTACAAAGCTGGCGATCGATAATCAAGACACCACTGTTCGTGAATTCAAGCCTAAGAATAGGCGAATCATGGTAAATTTTTGTTTAAAAATGGAGATTTAGGTTTGATTTTTTTTTTTGGGATTTTTGGTGATTGTGGTTTTAATGTTTTGTTTTAGGGAGCTGGAGGACCTGATGAGGAAGATAATAGATGGCCACCGTGGTTGAAGCCATTGTTGAAGGAACGGTTCTTCGTTCAATGCAAGTTACATGTTGATTCTCATAAGAGCGAATGTAACATGTACTGTTTGGATTGTATGGATGGTGCTCTTTGTTCCATTTGTTTATCTCATCATAAGGACCATCGTGCCATTCAGGTTCGTTTGTATTCCTTGTTTTTATGTATTTGATAAATTGAGATTCTTCGTAGCTCAGTTGATTAGCTATTTGATCTTTTTACTTGGTTAATTAGGGTTTGATTTTCATTCATTTCCAATTCCCCCCAAATAAATGATTCTTTTCGATTCCGATTTCAGTTTTCCGCCATTTTTGTCAAATATAGAGAAATGGAATCACAAAAATGTACTGTTTTGAAGCATCCATTCAATTTGAATTTGAATTTTTTGGGGTTTCTGCCATTTTCTGTCAAGTACAGAGGACTTTTTATTTTTCTCCTTTACTCTTTTCCTTTAATGGAACAACAAAAGAAATGTACTGTTTTAAAGCTCCCCTTTTGATTAGTGTATTTGTTCATTGTTCTATTTTTTCATGGTTGACTTGAAGATTGACTGATTGAATGTGGGTTGCTCTGTTCTTTTTTTTTTTTTTAAACAGATTCGGAGGTCATCGTACCATGATGTGATAAGGGTGAATGAAATACAGAAATTTCTGGATATCACTTCCGTTCAGACCTACATTATCAACAGTGCAAAAGTTGTTTTCTTGAATGAGAGACCACAGCCTAGGCCTGGCAAAGGTGTCACCAATACCTGTGAAGTCTGTGAAAGGAGTCTTCTTGATTCCTTCAGATTCTGCTCTCTTGGTTGCAAGGTACTAAACTATAATTTTCTTCGACTTTTAATGGTCTCATAAAATGAACTCTGCTGCAATTGGGTTTTTTTTTGACAAAATGTGAAGCAATTGGTCCATTGTTTTGGCATTATCAACAGATTTTTGGGATACAGATTAAAAAATATTGGGAATGGGTGATTCTGAATCTTGATTGTTAGTACTTCTAGAAGCAAGTTGTATTTAATATGTTAATTTTTGATTATTTTGATTAGATTGTTGGGACTTCAAAGAACTTCGTTAAGAGGCCAAAACAATCGCCGGAGAAGAAGAAGTCCTCGCCGGCTGCTGCAGCCGCCGTCTATGACTCAGAGGATTCCTACAGCAGCAGCAGCCATGGCCGGCAGAACAGCACAAGCAACAAGGTCCACCAAAGTTTCAGTCCGTCAACGCCCCCTCCAACTTCAGTTAATTACAGAACAGCCAAGCGAAGAAAGGGGATTCCGCATCGAGCCCCAATGGGAGGACTAGTTATAGGTTATTAAGTCTTAGAAAAATCAAAAATCAAAATCGAAGTCCTTCATTTGCTCCTAATTATACATTAGTAAAAAAGATCAGAATGCAGAATGCAGAAACTTCTCCGTCAAAAACACTAGTGCTTTCTTTCTTCTCTAGAGAAGGCCAGTGTTTGCTTTATTGTGTATATACTTTTTAGCTACTATAGTGTATGTTGGGATAAGTTGGAGGGGTGGAAGTTGAAATAAGAAAATGTTAAGGGACCAATACGGAAAACTTAGTTGGGCTTAGAAAATAAGCTATATATTATATTAAATATTATATAGTATGATGAAATATCAAGATACAGTGACTCTTGGCTTTTTAGAGTGATTATACATAAGTTTTGTTTGTTTTCTTTTACCTCCTACTGTAATCTAAAATGTAAATATAATGTTCTTATAGTTTGGAATATTTTAGCAACTGTGTCTATCTTCTTGTTTACATCATTTTTTAATAATACCGTCTTTGTTTTCCGATTTTTTTTAAATAAATTGAATCGAACGAAAGTATTTGTTTGATTTTTGAGCAGCTAGTATACAATCTGGTAAGGTTGGAAATTTTTGACTGGTTGAGGTACTAACTGCCAATAAGTGTGTCACAATATGGGGTCCAGGTTGAAGGAGACAAAATACTACGTGGCAGGTAATGATTGGATGAAAGATGCTAGGTGTTGATTTTTGGACATTCTGGGTGTAGGTTGTAGACTCATAGCCGCCCCCACAGGGCTTGGTTTACGGGAGTCTGATTAAATTTGAAGCCGCTGAAAATTTTTATATTTCTTAATCAAGGTAACTCGATATTTGGAAGAGATTTAAAATCGAAATAAAGAAATATTTATGACTTTATCATTATTCGTTTTTGTGGTTGGTCGGTTTCTTGGTGGAGGGGTTTTCTTTGTTTGTTAAGTGGAGCTATGGTTGATCGAGGACCGTTGGATTAAATGGTTGATTTGACGGTCATGATTCTGCAATGACGTTTAATGAGTATGAGTTTTTTGACTATTATAATAGACCTTATTCGGGCTTGAAGAAAAATAAGCGGGCCGGGCTCTGCCATGGCCATTAAAATGCCCGTCCAATTATCCTTTTTTTAACTTTATTCTAAAATATATAATAATATTAAATGAGAAGAATATCGTAGAAGAAAAGATGATGTGTGGTTCTGGGGACCCCATGAAATAGCAAGTGGCAAATTGTTATAAATAACTCTTTGGTTGTTTGATATTCTAAATTCCATATGTGACTCAAATTGCAAAAAAAAAGGTTTTATATTTGGCTTTAAACTAATAAGTAGATTATTTAATAAGAAGATATAGAGGTCAAGAATAGGATAGAAAATACGAGCGCAATTTTATTTTATTTCTTTTAGTTATTGTGTTTTCATTTTGGCGTGCTATTATTTTGAATTTTGCATATCTGTTTATATAGGTTTTACTTAAGCAGGTAGTTTATCGAAAATAATTTTTTTATTAGATTAAATACGTACGTATACATTATTTTTCTCAAAGCTTACTTATGAGATTATACTGCGTGTGTTATTGTCGTATATTATATATCTATATCCTTAATAGTGTTAATTGAAGTGGTTGGATGGAAGAAGTATGTTTAGGATGAGGTTTGGTGCGTGGTGCTCGTGTTATGGGTAACTTTAAGAGTAGGGCACGTGAAACATGAGCAAATATTGCCATTTGAAACCCCCCAAAGACCAAAAAAGATATGATTGACTACTTTTTGTTACAAAACTGCCATCTCTTTTGAGCCCTTTCTTTGGCTTTGCTTCTCATCAGTTTCTCTAAACTAATTTGACTTAAAACTCTGCTTCCACTGTATTTCCTTAACATTGCTCTAAAATAAGCAAATGTGTATTTTTTTTTCCTACCTAGGGGGTTACAAAGGCAGCACATTCTTTAAGATTTCAAAATATACGTGAATTTATTAATTTTTATCGAGGCTATGTAAACTCAACAATGATTGATATAGTATTGATAAATTATTATATAAATTCATAAACTTCAAATCTTTAATTCAGTAGGGTAAAAATAATTTTATCGTCTAGTCTATCTACCGATCCTTAAATATAAGACAAAACATTTGCTATAACAACTAAAAGTGACCTAATCGTGTAATCATGAACTCTAGAGGTTTTCTTTTTATCTTTTTAACTTCTTTTTCACATTAATGCGACTATAATTTTTTTGAAGTAAACACTTAACACAATGTTTGTGTATCTCGATGAAGATCAATTGATGTGTTTTGATTTAATTTATCTATCTCTTGTGAAAAGAAGTATATAGTTAAAAAAAGTTTCTAAAGAGCTACAAAATCGAATCTTCCGATTATGACTACCTTTATTTACGGTTCTGAATTTGCTTCTTTATTATTTGCATATTTCCATTTTGGAATGGAAAAAATGTGTGATAACGAGTTGCCACATTGTGAACGGTACTTATATGTATTAAAAACAATTGGGGTGGCTGCCCAATTGACACCTTTTTATGCCTTTGGCATGTTTTTTTGCTTTATTTATACCCTTTTTAGTTGCATGAGGAAAAGATTGAATGTTCTTTTGTAGAAGTAATCAAATTGTACATGTGTTGGTTGCCATTTGCTAATTGAAGATCTAATATATTGAACATTGTGACAAGGATCTCTTTGGTGGTGCTACTTATGCCCCATAACAATCAATTAACTAATAGTTAAATTGTTGTTAAATATATATATTTTTTTAGAAATAATTAATGCTTTTTATAAATATTCTTGAAATGTTAACTATACTTAATTCAATAACAATTAACTGATATGATAAAATATTTTAGTACTTTTTATTAATGTACATATATATACGCGTTGTTACAAGCTATTTTCATTATTGTGATAGGAAAATGTAGAAACATATCTAGATATGTAATTAGTTAAATTAATTAAATGAGATTAACTATATAATCCAAAAAGTACTACAATTTGCCGAAGGCAGATGTTTTGTGTTTAAATATAAAAAACAATTTAATTTGCTTCTGTCAATTTAGCCAGGCAAAAGAATCCAGTCCATATTAATTAAAAATAAGAAACGTATAGCTTCACCAACTATATATATAAATGTCTGTATGCGACGGTTCTGCATAACATAAGAATTTTCAGTTTGATACGTGGGATAAAAAATGTAATAATTTAGTGATGTAATTTAAAATTTAACATTATCTTATATTTGATTTGAATAATAAGATAATGAAATTAACTATTCATAAAACATCGGATAAAATATTCATATGGATTGTACCAATCCATAAAATACAGAAAAAGGCATGTTCATTGCTAAACTCTCAGAAGAACGAAAAATATTTATCGTTCATCATACTTTTAATTTGAATAAAAATACATATCCATGTATTTTTTTTAAAAAAGGTTATAGTTATCCTTATATTGAGTTGGGAGTACAAGAATAATACTAGAAGGCAATTTTAAATGAAATAAAAATATTCACGTAAAGTCCACATACAATGATAAAGGATAAATACATGAGAGTTAACATATGATAATAATTCATATATTTTAAAAAGTATAAAACAAAAAATATTTATCAAACTATCCAACGACATGAAGAAAGTGCTGGAAATGAATAATGAGAAACACAAAGCAATAATTGTAAGGATGGTACTTTTTTTATTTTCACCTTATAATATTACCTACTTCAAATTATTCCTTTCAAAACATGCAAACTTTTTTCCATACTTTTAGGCAGAGTTACCTTCAACAGTAAACTGTAATTTGAATCTTGTAGTTCAGTACTCTTTCACTGTTTGTTCACTCCTTGATGATAACTCATGTCGCATGCCACATTGCTATCGAAAAATGTACTCACAATCTCGTTCGCCTCTATTCTTATTTTAATGAATTTGGTTATATATATTGGCGTAGTTATACTTGTGTCAGGGTGTCATACGTCGGAATAATACACTATATATACAAGTAGAATAATAAATTAAGTGATTAAATAATATATTTTGAACACCCTTGACATAGTAATATGATGTAGCCTAGTGATTTCACTTGAAAAGTGAAGATACGAAAATTTAAAGTGTTAGTGTGTTTGGGTTTCACTACTAGCAAATTCTTTTTCCACTTTTTAAGAAGCTTTAGCACTTAGATACTCTTCATGAAAATTCTGGTTCCGTCATTATATATATATATATATGTGTGTGTGTGTGTGTGTGATAAAAAAGAAAATTCTTAATTAATAGAAAGATAGTTAATTATTTGAAGGGAAAAAGGACCAAGATTCTTTCAAACTATCGTAAAATAATTCAGATATCTTCTATTATACTTTTGGGATATTGATGTCCTTGCCTATGGCAGAGCCACCTTACAATGAGGGGGTTCATCTAAACCTCTCAGCGAAAAATTATATTATTTATACATGATTTAAATAATTTTTTAGGTATATATAATAGATGTCGAACCACCTTCAACTACTTCATGTGTCTATTTTTTTTTTATTTTGACTCTCTTATTCAAATTTTGGCTCCGCCACTGACCCTTATCATCTAAGAACTAGACCATATATACCATTTACACAAACGGACATACACGTGTCACAATCTTATTCACATACCGATATTTATTAAATATCATATCAACAAATAAGTTTACGTCATATATCTATATTTAGTCTTCTATTAGAATAAACTCTACAAAGCATATATACTATAATTTTTGGACTAAAAATGTCAACATCCAAAAAAATATAACATAGATATTTACATACTATTTATGATAATTTGAGAATATATTCATTCTTATTTTCTTATTTAAAAGTATAAATAGAATTATACATATGATATGAATGTATCAACTTATTTTTGTTATTTTGAAATAAGTGGTTTTATATAAATTATTAGTATTATAATTAGTCTCATGTAGACATTCTATATAAAAGTTAAAATCATGGGATAGGAGTACAATGACTTCTGTTTAAATCGGAAAAAGAAAAGTCATAAATTCTTTTCAAATGCCAATTTGATACACAAGATTTTTAGAAAAAAGATGGAGAAACTTCAATGTAAATATTTTTATTTTTGATTTCTTTTTGGATAAGAAAGTTCAAAGAATTAAAGGTGAAGAAAAGAAAGTGTAGATAGGAGATGTGTCGATCCATGAAGGAACATGTAGATGATTCTTTTGCATCTTTCGTTAGGGGGGCCTATGATGAGGGACTTTTGACACGTTGTCTATTACAACAAACGTCAATGAATTTAGCGTAACCTCATAAAATAAAATTAAAAGAAAATAAAATACAATCATACATAAAGAATTGATCGTTATTTTATTAAAATCGTAAATTTAAGAATAATACATTCACAAGTAAAATAAATGAAATAACGTAAATAAAGTTGCATTCTAAAGAAAAGTAATTTACAATACGTT